TTAAAAATAGAGTTCAAGATATTTGGATCATGATTTGAGTGTGGCTTAATTTGAATGTTAGTGATAGCATCTTTCCGATATACTGCGTATTCATACATTCCTGTTTTTTTATTCATAATTTGTATATCCAGATAATTTAGTGTTCCTAATTCGTTTTCAACTTCAATTGTATACTGGATGGAAGGATGTTGTTGATTTCAAATGTATTGGAAATGTTTTGCTTGGTTGAGATCTGGAAACCTTGCGTGACTATCATCGACATATCTTAAGAACGATTTGAGGTTAAGTGCAGGGTTGAAATTTAGTGCAACTTTAATTGCATTGTTTTCATGGAATTGTAGAAATGATTCTGCAAGAACGACCATGAACGAAAGTCCAATTGGACCCGAGTTTTCCATTATATGAATTTCATTGTTCCAATGAAAATAACATTGAAATAAACAAAGTTCTATAAGTTGTTTTATTTCAGGTATACTTAGTCTTGTTAATTTTTTATGTTGTATTATTATTTAATTTTTCTATAAGTACAAGGGTGGCTTCTTTTAAAGGAACCAACGGATACAGATTTACGACATCAAAAGATACCTGAACTTCATCATTGTCAATTTTCCAAGATTCAGCTTTTTTAATAAAGTCAAAGGAATTTTTTAATCTTGTCAAGTTTTCATTCAAAACTGGTTGTATTATCTTAACTAAGAACTCAGATATTCCGTAGTTTGCTGTGCCGATTGTGGAGATAATTATTCTCATAGGATAGAATTTTTCAGGTTTGTGGGCTTTGATTACACCATACATACGAGGCGGGATGGGATCACTAGGATATATTTTTCCGTATTCCTCTTTTGAAAAACAGTTTCTTTTATTTAGTTTTGAAAGATATCTACGAATTTTAGCCGCGTAATTTGCAGTAGGGTCTTCACTTACTATTTTTGTTGGGCCTATTTGTTCGCGAATTTTTTCCAAGGCTTTTGAATGTTCGATTCGTACAAAACCTGTCCCTTTGTCGAATGGATATATGTCAACGTTTTTTCCTCTTTTATTTCTCTATAAGCTTTCCATTGTTCTTTTGTAAGATTATTATTTAATTTTTTTCCGGTTTTTAGTTCTCTTAAAACATTTTTCCTTAGGTCTTGGGCATTTTCAATTTTATTGTTGTATTCTAATTTTAACGCAGAGGATTCCGTGGCTGTAATAATATCCATATATGGTATCGACTTTAAAGATGGTACAAAGTGTGGACCGAGGTTTAGAAAATTATTATGACTTACTGGAATGTCGGTATCGCATAAGTTTAGGACAGCATTCTTTTTATAATTTGTTGTTTTTTCGGCATTATCGTTTTTATTTTCACGTTCATTTTGCAATAAACACGTATTCTATTATTATTATTTTTTTTTTTTTAATTAATTACTGTAACATTTAACAAGCTGAAGAAGCTGGTATCTAAAATCCAGCGAAAATCTCTATAATAATAAAAAAATTATAAGTGTTGAGAGAAATCGTATTTTTGATGTTTTAAAATAATATATATATATATATATATATATATATATATATATATATATATATATATATATATATATATATATATATATATATATATATATATATATATATATATATATATATATATATATATATATATATATATATATATATATATATATATATATATATATATATATATATATATATATATATATATATATATATACCTTCCTGACAAAAAAATGAGACTGCATATGCAAAATTTTTGTTCGTATTTTACAATTTTCGGCAAGTCATGCAATTACTTTTTTTGTATTTCATAAAATCCATTATTTCCATATTTCGTCTTATTGTGTAAGTTAAAAGAGAAAAAAAAAAGTTAAAAAGTAATAAATTAGTTATTCTTTACTAAATTGTAATACTAATTAAATTATATACATTTATTCTTTGAATTCATTACATTATACAAATACAATATATCTTGAACTATAAAATATACTATACAAATGAGTCAAAAATTTTGAAATATAAACTTTATAATACAATTATTTATACAAATATTTAAGTTATACCTTTAAGAAACAATATTACGGTTTTAGGCTTTCTTAGATTTAAATTTCTTTTGGATTTTACATCGAATGCTGAACCATTGAAAAGTTTTAAGAAAAAATTTCCAATAGATAAAGCTTCAGGGGCGACTACACCGTGGTGATGACACCACCGGTGCCCCCCGACTTTTGTTCGAGAGGACTTTTTTTATTTTTTAAAAAAAAATCTTGATATAGAGGATTTTTTTAACAAATTGATAATTGTGCTCCCCCCGCCCCCCGCCCCCATTTCAAAACCCGTGTCGTCGGCCCTGAGCTTGTAATAAGAATCTAAAATTACGGTACCAATTTAAGACATTTTTGGTATTTGAATTCCCAAGTTATAATATTTTTGGACTTTTAAGTTCTATAAATTAAGTTAAAATTTCAAGTTTAATTAATAATTACAAGTTAATGAAACAGTTATCTTTAATTAGAAAAATCATTAATGCTGAGCAATTTTGCCAGTTATTCGCGGTGCTAATAATGAATTGCAACAAGATACTATATTTGGATGATCAATACTCGATTAAAACAAGAGCTATATTTATTCTATATTTTCTATATTTCTATATTTTCAATATAAAGAAATCTGAAAACAAAAGATATTGTCAGTTTTGTAGTTAAGTGAGATCTATAGAAACAAATCAGTGGTCAAACATTTATGAGTGGAATCGAGGTTTAGTAAATACATATGTATAAAGACGTCTAAAATACGTGATCTGGGTTCTATAAACAATTTTTTAAGCAGTAAGTCATTTATAAGGCTAAATATAATCTCAGAAGGAGGGAGAAATTTCATTAATCGCATTAAACACAACTGATGTAATTTTTATTTAAACTGACATAAATCTTTTTTAGTTTAAATGAATATTTATTCATATATTTAAATCTTTTTTAGTTTAAATGAATATTTATTCATATATTTAAATAACTGACATAAATCTTTCTTAGTTTAAATGAATATTTATTCATATATTTAAATCTATTTTAGTTTAAATGAATATTTATTCATATATTTAAATCTTTTTTAGTTTAAATAAATATTTATTCATATATTTAAATAACTGATATAAATCTTTTTTAGTTTAAATGAATATTTATTCATATATTTAAATATTTGTTTTAATAAATATTATAATAAAATACTTTAAATCATCTTAACTTTGTTTTTTTATATAGCAGTCATATAATCTTTCTATAAAACAACTTTCGTTTTTTTATTTAACAGTCATATAATCTTTTTATAAAACAATTAACTTCTGTCTTAATGTATCTACTTAAACAATTATTATGAATGCAGTCTATAAAGTAGTGTAATCGGTTAAAATTACTTTATACAATTTAACAATAACTAACCGGCTTTCTAACAAAGCCGACGACAAGGTTTCAAAGAAGAGGAAAAGGGAGAAAGAGGGGCACAATCGAAAATATTTTTCAAAAAAGTTTATGTACTTTTTATAAATTATATAAAAACTTAACAATAAATAAAATGATATATTTTTCTTCTCTGTCTTGTTAATTTAACATCGATGGTTAAAAATGATTTGAAAAGTTTTTTTTACAAATAAAATAACCTTATATAACAACCAACAATTAAACATACACAAGGAAATAATGAACTGATTTTAAATAAACTATATGATATAATTTGTATAAAATAATGTAACGTTATGTATTGAAAAATTTAATTGCCTCCTAAAATAACAACGTTACATTTGTTTTAGTAATGTTTATTTATTTATTTATTTTTTATATCAAATTTACAAATTTAAAATAATACCACCAAAAATAATACAAATTTTTTTTGAAAATCAAAAAAAAGTTTAAGTTTTGTATTTATTTGCTTGCAAATATAAAAAAGATAATTTAAATTAGTATTAACCGATTTTCTTACTGACTAATGACGTATACAAATAAGCAATACAGTTTGTTCTCACGATTTTCACTCGAGAGAACAATGCATACACACAGTCATAATCAAAAACGTTTGAATGATCATATTACATGGATTATCTGTTTCAGACTTCCGTCTTAAATTTTACAAAACCAAAGCGGTGAATTACTTTTGATAATTGGACATTTCAAAGTATTTACAAGACGCGGACTTCTTTGATGTACCGCTGAAATAAGAATAAGTCCATTTTACTTAAATATTAAGTCTATCAATTTTTCTTATTTTCATTCTTTCTTTAGTTTACTTTTAACATATTAATGAATATCTTTACCGGTTTATCTTTTTGGGTCTTCGATTTTTCTATTATTCTGATTGATAAATACAACTATTATGACGTCTTTGACAATCGATAAAATTACTTATAATTCAAAATTCTAGATTTTCAAAAACAAAATAGTTCATTACCGAAGTCAGAAGTTAATGTAGTTAACGTTTGCTATCCAGTGCATTTTTTTTTAAAGAAGAATTAAGAGATTCTTATAGAATACACCGATATCCGTCATTTATGTATTTATACCGACATCCGTCTTTTTAATGAAAAAGTATGTTCAAAAATAATAATTTTGAATTATATGATCGTATTGTCATAAAGATCTATAAACTTGGAATTGGTGGCAATAATTAAAGTAGGAAACCAAAAATTCAAAATAGTAGCATAGAGTGTCAACAAATTATTGGGCATTAAAAAGCCCGACTCCGTTTATGGAACAATAGTAAAAGATCCTAATTTCCTAGACACAAATGAAGGAGCATAATTTTGAATTTGCACATGAGTGTTATCCATTTTTGTAATTTTTTACTGACTTATAACATACAAATAGAAATTTTGGATGTAAGCTCTGATAAGTGCACGGCATTCTTTAATCCTCGTTCTACAAAGCAATTTCATTGAAAGTTTTCTATAACTCAATAGTTTCTGACTCACGTCAGAGCTTCGATATTCAAAAATTGTTTTCCATATTTAGTTGCTTATCGAGTTTAGTAACGAAATAATAGTGATCGGCTCTTTTCTTTACTTACGTTAAAATCATGACCCCATGCTATGAACTATTTGCTAAAAAATCCCGATTAGCTCATAACGATAGAAGAAGTTGATCGCCTCGGAAACAGCGCAAAAGAATTTAAATAAAGTCATATTGTCTGAAATATTGATCACAATTTGCTTGACAAACATGAAGCATCGAAATTTGGCATTTAACTTCTTTGTACAAACCTGGTTGGCAATCACAATTGCATATAATGGGGCAAGCTTTGGGTAAGTGTTAAGCCAAGTAAAAGATTTTCTTTTCTTTTACTCTATAATTTTTTGGTTTTGTATTAATTCAATCATTATTTATTTAATCGGTTTATTATTAAAAGCATTTTTCGATATAAATGTCTTTCTTCCTAAAAACGATAAAGGTCAAAAAAAGTTTTTTTTGAAAAAAAAAAGATAAATTTTCTTATGAATTCTTATGAAAAAAAGTCTTACTCAATAAATCATGATTGATAATTATCTAATTGATAAAGCATTAATGCCTCGTGGCATTTTAAAATAAGTATTGAAATTTTAAACTTTACTCAATAAATTCAATAAACTATTTAGTGATGAATATAAAAAAAAAATCAGCAGTCATCTATGTAAAAACGAGTATAAATACAAAATAACTCAACCAATGTTAGATTTGTGTAAAGAACAGGCTTATAATTTTGGATATGCAATTAATGGATTTAATAGAGGAATTACTGAGTGTCAATCTTTGTTTACAAATCAACGATGGAACTGCTCTACTTTTGATGTAGATTCAGAATTTACACTGTTCAATACTGTCATGTCTAGAGGTATGTTTAACTAAAGTAAACATTTTTTTTTGTTAAATTGAAAGTGTAACAAAAAAATAATAATACAAACAAATATTAAAAAACAACAATTGCGTTTTTTTAAAGGGTCTAAAGAAGCTGCAGTTCAAATGGCAATGGCATCCGCAGGAATGATTGAAGGTATTACTGCAAGTTTAAGAAGGAAAAAAAAACCAACCACTAAAGACGAATCTGGGTGCAACACTCAACTTGCCCAGCAGAATCCTGGTGAATATTATAGCGAATGTGATGCAGATTTAACAATAGGAAACCGTTTTGCAAACCTTGTTATAAAAACCTGGCAACCTCAAACAAATCAAGAAGAAGTGCAAATGAATGAGCATAATTCCTACGTTGGAAAAATGGTAACCTTTTTTATTATTTTATTTATAAAAATGGTAGCCATGGCATATAATCATCATTTTAACTTAAAGATGTTTATAATATTGAAAAAATTCGAAATCTCTCTATAGCGTCTACCCCTTTATAATTTCCTTAGATCGCGCAGTAAATTCTACGCAAGTTATACTTTAAAAGCATCGTGTTAAATCGTATTAATCGTGTTAAATCGTGATAAAGGTTTTTAACATGATTACGAGTTTAATGCTTTAAACATTTTTAATTTAACTTTTTTTAAAAACTTATGTGGACCTGTACAAAAATGTATTTAAATATTTTTAAATGAAAATTTTGGAAATGTTGCCTAATTTTTACAAGTGTAAATTTTTAACTCTAACTTAGAAATCCAGCTTTGGTACAATATTGCATTTAGGAGATAATTTAGTCTATCGGAGATACTTAAAACAGCAGCAACCAATTTTAACAATTTTTAAAGATTAAAGTTTTGATTATATTATCAATATTGTATTACTACTATTTATCAATATTGTATATAACTACAACCAAATAAAAGATATAAACAATTAAAAAATGTGATATAATTTAAATGATGTATTTCATATTTTTACAAATGTACGTTAATTTACTTGTAGGCTGTACAACTTAATATGCAGAAAGTTTGTAGATGTGCTGGTATATCTGGTAATTGCGTTACCAAGTGTTGCTATCAAACGTTAAAGCCTCTAAAAGTAAGTGCGCAATGGTTGCAAGCCCAGTATAGTAAAGCTCAAAAAGTAGTTCGCAGCCAACGAGTTAGAAGAGATGGACGATATTTATTAGTCAATGAAAAAGACGGGAAAGAACCTGCAAACACAGACTTGATATACATACTCGATTCACCAGATTATTGCACTCATGATATAAATAAAAATAGTCTTGGAACTACCGGCCGTTTATGTAATAATACCTCATTAGACACAAATGGCTGCGAATATATGTGCTGCGGAAGAGGTTACGTCACGGAAGAATTAAACGTTGATGATTTCTGTAAATGTAAATTTAACTGGTGTTGTGACGTAACTTGTGATCGGTGCAAAAAAACAATAACGCGGCATATTTGCAAATGAAAAATCAACCAAACAAAAAACAAAAAAACAAATACGGATATATTTAAAAAAAGTAGCAAAAAATATTTGCTATAATAAAGTTATTTATTTTTCGACTACGTCTTGTAAATAAACTTAAAATATTTTATTATTGTAATTTAAATTATAGAGAAAGTTATTTAGTTTTGTAAATAATAGTATTATATAAAAAATATTTCTTTTGGTTGTTTCTTATATTTACCGCCTGCTTTAGAAACGGCAACGTCCCCTGAGAAAATGCCGATTCTCATTTAATTACTACATTCCTCCTGTTATTTAAATAAACAACTTAGTTTAATGTTAGACATTTAAATCTCCCTTGGTTTCCGCTGCTTAAGTTATTTCTCACTTAAACTGTTTTACAGCTTGCGTGTCGTAATCCTGCAAAAGTGTTTTTCTGGGTTTAAAATTTGACTAACCTGTTTCTCTTGGATATCAGGAAGAGTCATTAAATCAATTACTATGATATATGATTTTCATGATTTACTGCTGACTTGTTTAATCATAAAGGTTTTATTATGCATTCCCAGTGGACATGCGTTGTCCGGGGGACGTCCATTGGACGTCTTACGGACGTCTGGACGTCCATGAGACGTCCAGCAGACGTCCTCCGGACGACGCTTGCCCACTGGGTTAGATTAAAGTGATGAGGCAAGGGCTAATGATCTGGATATACCGAAGATTTTCTATAAAATTTACCATGTTGCTTTTTTTCATATGTTTCCTTCATCCAGTATAACCATTATAACCATTAAACTGCCTACAACAAAAAACCATAGCTCCTGCAATTGTATCACACAAAAAATAGATACATGAAAAAAAAACACATTATTAGATAAGAGTATACCAGTAGTGGATAGGTTAGTAAAAAAATCAACAAAACAAGATAAAAATAATAGCACGTTTGGTTTTTTAAGACTGGACCAGAAACCAAAAAACAAAAT